TTAAATATTTTTAGAAATTATTTTAAACATTTCTATTTGATAATATTTTATTTTTATAAAAATAATATAATACTTAAAAAAATTATTTCCATATATTTATAATGTAATTTTTTAGTTAAAATATTATCTATTAATATAGATAAACTTTATTTTTACATAAAACAGAATAAAGTAATACTATTTTTACTTACAAATTGTTACTATAAATCTCATGTTTAACAATTTGAAAAAGTAAATAATTTTTCGAAAATATTATTAAAAATCTTAAGATTTAACTTTTTTTAATTTTGTTAATTAAAGTAATTAAAATTAATTAACAAATATTTATTTTTTATTTAAATAAAATGAGAAAAACAAGAGATTTTTAACAATTTAAAATGTTTTTCATTATTACTATATTTTTTTTTAATTTGATTTTATTTTTTTTTAAATAAAAACATTAAAATAAAAAATTATATTTGCTTTTGTTATAAACATATTTTACTATTTATGATTAATTTATAAAAAATTATTAAAAATGAAAATAAAAGCATGTAAATTATCTATAAAAAATTTATAAATTTATTGTATAATGTAATAACATATATTTACTATATAAATTATATTAAAAAAAATAATAAAAAGTATTAAAAAGAAATTATTGATAAAATTATTATGTATTATTTTTTTAAAAGATATTTTATTAGTAAAAAAGATTTAAATGAGTTATAATTCTTGCTTATTTAATATTAATTTGTATTTATAACAATATAATTCGTTAATAATTTATTATATGTAAAAATAAAATATAAATGGAAAACACAATATATATATATTTAAATTATATATATTTATATATATTTATTTATAATATATTTTTTTTTATTATATTTAAATTATGACTTTATAATACATCTATTTACTTATTTTTTCTAATTTTAATTATTTCTTAAATAATATATATAAAAATAATTTAATAATCTAAATTAAATAATATTATAAATATTTTGTATTTTTTTTTTTTTATTTTTATATATTTCTAATTATATTATTCTATTTATTTATTTTTTCAATAATTATTTAATTAAAAAAAAAAAATTTTTTTTAATTTTTCTTCAAAATTATTTATATTTTATTATTATACGCTTTTAAATATATATTTGTTTTTCTTTATTAAAATACAAAAACAAAAATTAATTTTTTTTTATATATTTATTCGTTTGATTAGTAAATATTTTTAAAATTTATTTCAAATGAATTATTTCATTTTTTACTAATAATTAAATATTAATATATAAATGTTTAGATATATAGTATTATAATTTCATTTAACATAATTATTTATAAATTAAATTAAAATAAATTCTTATATATAAAATAAAATTATTTATCATATATATATTTAATTTTTTTAATAAAAAAAGAATCATTTTTATAAAAAAAAAATATATAAAAAAAAATCAATTTTATTTTTATATATATTTTTTTTTTTTATAATAATATTTATTATTATTATTTTTAAATTAAATAAAATTAAAATAAAATGTAAAATAGTTAATCTTTTCTTAAAGAACCAAAATATTAAATTCATTTACATAGAGATATTTTAAAAGAATAATGTAGAAAATCATACGTTTTTGAATAGGTAATTTATATATAAAATAAAATAAATAATAATATAATAAAGACGACATTAAAAATTGAATAAGAGCTAGACGAACTATCGAATATAAATACTGATAATGATGATAGTATAGATTAATTAAGCTTATTTTATGATAAAAATATATTTAAAATCTAAAAAATATAAGATATAGGATTAAGTATTTTATTTTAAGAAAAATTGGAAGAACTTTGGAAAAAAGAAAGTGTTAAATATATATTATCAATAAAATAAAGAAATTAAGATAAAAGTAAAATAAACTCAAGGATATTAAAAATGCTAAATTTATTATTATTTGTAATAAAACGATATAAAATACACATATGTTACTATAATTATTTTATTTTTTTATGGTAAGAGAAAATTCCTGAATATTTTTCGATTTTAAGTGTTTTTGTATTTGCAGATGATTGGCAGATTTGCTATAGAATTTTTTAAATTTTATTAGAATGTAGATTCGATGAGAATATTAAAAATCATTTAAAATGGAATATTTATAATTCTGATTTATATGAATAGTTTTAAAGTGGATTTTTTATCTTTACTCATCTTATTTAAGTAATTAATAGTAGTCAACACCTTATTTAAAAAAATTAAATTGATACTTATATTAATCCTATTTATTATAAAAAAATCAAACTAGTCAAAAATTAACTTTATGGAGGTTTTTATTAAACTGTTTTAGAACAAGAGGAAGAGTTATTTTAAGAAGAAAAAAAAGAATCAGAAAATTTGATAAAAATATAAGAAGGAGAGAATAATTTTTAAGAAGAAAAAAAGGAAGGAGAAAATTATATAAAAATATAAAAAAAATAAAATGAAAATTACATAAAAATATAACAAAAATAAGGAGAAAATTGTATAAAAATATAAAAAAAAAGTGAAGAAATTCAAGAATGTGATTTAAAAATATAAAAAAAAAGCGAAGAAAATGAAATTTATATTTTCGAGTTAGAAAAAATAAGCTAAAATGAATGCTTATGGGAATATTTTTTAGAAAAATTAACAATTTAAAAATATAATGAAATAATTGAAAAATAAAAATATTTGGAAATATTTGAGTGTTTTTTGTATTTAAAAATGATTTACTTAAACCAAAAAAATGACATTTAAAGGTTTTATTTTTATTTAGTATATAGAAAAGCTTATAGTTTTCAAAGTACAAGTCGTATGTCATGTTTAAAGACAATACTTTAAACATATTTAAAGAAAGAATATACTTTTGCAGTATTATCAAGGTCTCAACTTCCTATATTTTGTGTAAAAATATTGAAATAAATAATCAAGAAATCACCTGAAAATCCGTAAATAATATGGGATATTTTACTTTTTGAAAATTAAATGTTAAATATGCTAAATGAATAAACATAAAAAGGAAAGAAATATTATTTAAAAATCGAGAATTATGTAATAAGAAATCATTTATAATAAAATAGTAATCCTTTTTTAATGTAAAGTATATGGTATTATCCAAATGGATGCCATACAGATGTTTGTATTGGATTTACGTGGAATTTTTTAATTTAAATTAAATAAATTATGATTAAAGAAAAAGATAAGAGTTTGTTTTTAATAAAAGAGGAGGAAATTGAGATTTATTTTGAAAACTTTTTAAATGAATTTATTTGTTCGGAATAAATTTTCGAATTGCCTTTTTATAAGTTTAATTTTTTAAACTATTTTTATTTTACTGAAGAATTTTTCGCGGTTTTTAATTCGCCTTCATTTAAAGAGAAAATATTGTGTCTTTTGGAAAAATCGTTTTTTTTTTATTAGAAAAAGTTATTTTTTTTGAATAAAAAATAAAGCCTTCTCATTATTATATAACAGAAAAAATAATACAAATGTTTTTTTAGTCCATTACGGAATAAAATAAGAAAGCTTTAATAGAAAAAGAATCGAAAAATGAACTTTTTAAAGGACTTTTAGAATAAATTTTGGATAAAAATAATGAACTTTCGGCATTTTTTTTAGTTGTAATGTTCGATATTAATAGTGACTCTTTAAAAACTGCTTTTGTGGGTTATTTTATAAAGCTTTTGGGAGAAAACTAAGATCTTTTATTAAAAATTGGGGTTCTTTTGAATAAATAATATAAGTTTTAGATTGATATTTTTACGTATTTTGCAAAATCTTCACATTTTTAGATTAATTTTGGTCTTTATAATGAATAGATATATGAATATTGTGCTAAATATTTTCTAAAGTAATATTTTTTGAAAGGAAATCAGGTGAATAATTTATAAATTTTAAACTTAGAAGGACAAAAATACTATTTTAGAAAAGAAATAATGAAACATAAAGAAAAAATAAAATTTTTATTAAAATAATAATTAGAAGAAGAGGAAAAAAGTCTTAAAAAAATATAAAATAGACAACATTTTGAAGCTTATATGTATATTTTAAGTACTAAATATTAAGTTATGTTAAATAATTTCAAAGGGTTTATAGATTCTTATGTACTTTTGGTAAATTAGAATGAAAAGAAAGAAATTGTATAAGAATTTTCGGATGAATTTTCGTTTTTTATTATTGATATTTTCGAAATATTGTTTAATTTAGGAGGATTTTTAGGAGGGTTTTAGAAAGGGAATCCTGTTAGGGGTTGTTTTTTAAGATTTATGGAAATTATTTGTTCTAATAATATCGAAGAGTTGAATTTTAGTAAGATTTTTGTTTATATTTTCGAATAGTTTTAATTATGTAGAATTGATATAGAGGATGTTAATGAAATTCGTTTTTTACTTTAAGTTTATAATGGAGATTTTTTTAGTTCTTGTGGAAAAAATATAATTTTAGAAGATGAAGGGGTATTTTAGAAGCTAAGTTTTTATAAAAAAAAGGAACTTTTTACGTTTTTATAGAAAAAATGTATTTGTTTGTAAAATTTTTCTAATAAAAAATAACATTTGAATGTTTTTTTGGATGAAAAATATGAATAAATATTAGAAAAAACAACAAATTAAATGAAAAATGAACTTTTAAGATATTAAAAAGTACTAAAAAAGATATATTTAAAGGAAGAAATGTAAAAGATGAATTTTTAATAAAAGAATGAAGCCAAAATTAGCATTTTTAAAAAAATTCGATTTTTTTAGAACTTAAATAAATGCGGAAATAAAAAAGATATTAATGCAAAATTAAGTTAGTTAAAAATAAATGAAGATTCTTTCCTTTTTTTAGATTCGGTTAGAATTTGTAATACTTATTTATATTTAAAATAAGAAAAAATCGATAATTTAATGTTTTGGGATACTTTTTAGTTAAAAATTGTAAATTAAATTTTCAAAAATGCATTTTCTTTTGGAGAAAATAATAAAACGTAATAGTTTTTTTTTTTAAAAGATGATTCTATATTTGAGTGCTTTTTGGATATTTTTAAAGATACGGGAGTTGTTTTGGACTATTTTTAGGATATTTAGGGAGGTGTTTAATATGTTAAAAATAAAATGGCTAGTTTAATGAAATGCTTTTAGTTAATTTTTATGGAAATTTTTAATTTTCTTAAAATATAGGGAAATGTGGATGCTTAATAATTGATAAAAATGAAAACATATACTGTAGAAATTGTAAGAGTTATTAATAAATTGGGAGAAAGTAATGATATTTTTCCGTTTCTTTTTTAAAAAGTTAATAGTAATTAATCATAATATCTAAATTAAGAAATTTCTGAGGTATTTATGGATTCTTTTTTAATCGAAATTCGAAAAAATTATAAATTAAATGATAATTGTGCTTTGAAAATTTTTTTAGGTAAAAATTTTGACTTTTATTATTAGAAAAAAAATGAATTTTTAAGTTTTTTTTCGAAAAAGAAATAAAAATTATGTATCTAAATAATAATAATGTTAAAGAAATTAAATATGATATTTTTTAAATTAAAGAGAGTATTTTTTAGGGATTTTCAAATGAATAAAAAGCTAATTTAGGTCTAAGTCTTTCAAATTAATTATTTGGAATGTTAAATTAAGAAAACATTAAGGAAGATGAAGATGTGGAAGACTATTTTTGTGTTTTGGAGTTTATTTTGAAACTTTTTGAGACTTTTAATAAATCTTATGACTTAAAAATAAACAATATTCTATTTAATGTTGCTAACAAAGTATTAAATATATCCCTAATGCTTATTTTAATTAAAAGAGAAATTTCTATTAAGCTTTTAATTGAAAAAAAAGTAATTTTCATCTGTAAATATATTTGTTAGATAAATGAAAATTTCAGATAGACTTTAAGCTTGTAGATTTTTAGTATTATTTATGAAGTTTTAAATCATAAGGATTTATATCTGTATACATTAGAATTTTCTATTAAATATTTTTTGATTAAATAAAGATTTTTATTATATCATAATATTGATATAAGTTAATTTTAATAAGATTTTAAGTATATATATTTATATATATATATATCTATTTATATATATATATAATATATATATTTATACGAGATTTATTATCTGAATTAAATTTTTTTTAGGAATTTATGTTCAAAAGGTCCTAAAGATGTAGTCAAGGTGTTCAAGAAAATATGTATAATTGAAAGAAGAAATAAAAAGAAGTTAGAGTGTAAATTAAAGCCAGATTATTAGAGAAAATTTCATTATATTTATTAGTTTACGGAATAAGAGAAGTGCCTATTTAATTAACTTTATGAAATTTGCTCGAAAAATGAACAAAAAAAAGAATTTTTGTAAGATTATGATGAGTTAAATTGGGAAAATATAAATACAAAAGTAATGAATAAATATGTTTTTGGTTAAATAATGTAAAATTTATTCATATATTACCCATGTTTGTCTGAAATAATGACTCAGGAGAAGAAATATAGGAAAATTTTTGTTGATTTTATGTTAAAAGATAGCTTGGGAAACTGCAAGTAATTCATAGTTTAGTTTTTTGTGAGTGTTTATATATAAAAGCATAATTTAGATTTGTTAGAAAAATATTGGGAAAAATATATGAGAAAAAGTGAGAAAATTGTTGAGAAAATATTCATCAAAATCGAAAAATATGAAAAATTAATGCTGTATTTATAAGTTTTGGAATGTCTTTTTGAAAGTGGGAGCTATTTTAGATTTTTCGAAAAGAAAAATAATGAAAACATGAAGGAGTTTTTGGAAAAAATACTAATGAAAATGCTTTTTTTGGGAAAAAAAGATGAGAATTTATTTTCTTTTTTAAATTTGCCTTAAATTTATGCCGTTTTATATAATAATTATATAAACTAGATTTTAAAAAATGTCTTTAAATAAAATTAAAAAGACGCTTATTAAATTTATATATTTGGAAGAGAAATAAAATAACTTTTTTATTCATAAAATGCAGATTTTTCGCATTTTTTTGATGTGCTAAATTTTATCTTTCAAAATGAAAATCATAATTGCATTGATTATTCTTAAAAAAACAAAAAAGAAACTTTTTAAGAATAAACCCCTATTATAAATTAATAAGACTTCGAATTTTTATAAGAGGATAATTTATAATAAAATGAATAAAAAAAACAATAAAACTCATAAAAAAAAACAGAACGAAAAATGAACACTTAAATGAGTTTTAAGGAAAAGGAAAAGCAGAAGGACCCGTATTTTAAATAAACTATACATAATAGAGTAAATTAGGATTCGTTTAATAAGCAAAAATAAGCAGTTAAACATATATAAAAGTGGTAGCTTAATAAATATAGTATTAAAATCTCAAAAAAGAGCATGTTTATGAAATTAAAAAATTAAATGCTTATTATAGAAATAAATGGAAAAATACGTATTCATAATTTGTTATAAATTAGGCAAATTTAAGTGGATTTTTAATCAATTTATATAGTAAAATTATTTATGAGAAATTCGTTTTATATAAGGAATTGTTTGAAATATCTGTTTTGGTATAGGATTTGGAAGATTTTGAAGATAGCTAAGTTAATAGTTCATCTAAAAAATAAAAAAAGAAAGTTTCTTCAATTAAAAAGGGAAGTAAAGAAAAATAGAATTTAAATTAGAAAAGAAAAGAAGAAGAAAATACTAGTATTTAAAAAAAAAAAAGTGTAGAAGAAACAGAGGAAGATAGTGAAGAATTTTTAAATATAGAAAAAAACAAATAAATAATAAATCTAATTAAAAATTCGAAAAATAAGAAGATTTTGATAAAGCTTATTAAAGATGTATTTATGGAAGATATCGAAAAAATAAAAAACGAAATAGTAGAAGAGCATTAATAAGTTCGAATAATGAAAAAAATATTAGAAAATCTTTCCTTTTATAAAGCGGGAACTTATTTATATGAAAACGACTCAATTCTTATTTAAAATTTGATTAAAAACGACTTCGAAATTGTTAAAGATTTTTTTTCGTTATTTAATGTTTCTTTTAAAGATGAATATTTGTTTAAATATTTTCTTATTTAAGAATATGATTCTAATAAAGCAATTCTACAATCATCATTAGATAGTCTTTTTATAAATCGAAACTCCTATATTTTTCCGAAATCTAAATAACAAACGTCATCTTTTTTATAAAAAGTAATTTAAAGTACTTCAAATAAAACATTGAATTTACCTAATAATAATAATAATGATTAAACTTCGCCTAAAAATAATTAAACTTCGCCTAATAATAATCAAACTTCGCCTAAAAATAATTAAAATTCTCCTAATAATACTTAGATTTTTTAATAAAATTCTCCTTTAGTAGATTTTTATGATTTCTTAAAAGAATTCAATTACTTATATACTGAAGTAACTGATGAAACTTTAATTAAAAATAAATCATTTAATGTATATAGCAGCGGAGCATATAATACTAAGCTATAAATAAAATTTTAAAAATGGCATTTAATGCACATTTTTACTGATGATTTTTTAAATTAACTAATTGAGTTTCCAACCGAATTAATCGATTTTGCTTAAAACATTCTTTTTTTTTCAAAATCAGATGAAAATATATATAATTAAGCTGAAATAAATCCCGAATAATTTGATTTCTACCTACTTTTCCTTCATAACTGTAAAAATCGTGAATATTTCTCAAAAATATTAATCGAAAATCTTCCAAAAATATCTAAAAATTATAAATCAATAAATAAGATCTTTTCTTTTCTTAGTATTCTTATATAAAATAATGAATATATCTTCGAATTTTTCTTTGAAAAATCCCTTATTTAATAATTATAATCTTTTATTAAAATAAATGGACTTTTAAAAAGCATAAATACTTAAAAATCTTTTAAATATAATTATAAGGCTTTCATAAATTTATTGTTTTTATATTTAGATAGGAATTAGTTTTTCATTCCTGAATGTATTTTACCTTTTTTACCTCGAAATATGCTTACTAATACACATGAAATTCAAAAATAACTTATAAGAACTGAAAATATGTAATAAATAATGGCTTAAATCTATTTAAATGATTTCAAAAGCACTTATTTTAAGAAAAGATAGTATATTTTCTTTGAAAAAAATCTCGTTTTTTGCACTTAACATGAGTAAATTTTGATTTTCCTTTTACAACTTGGAAAAAATATACCAATTTCTTTGACTCCTATATCTACTTTGCTCGTTTAGACAATTAAAAACCTATATGAGTAAATGAAAGAGAAAGATTTTGCTAATTTTGATACTTAAGAGAGAGAGTTTTTCGATAATATGTTAAAATAATAGCTTAATAAATAACTAGAAAGCATTTAGTGTAAATGTTTGATGCTCTTTAATTTCATAAAGTATATTAAATAAATTTTTAAACTCCTTTTATAATAAAAATATATGGAAGATCCTGAAAAAATAAGCCTTTATTGCAATTTTTTAAAGGAAAAATTCGAAGATTTACTAAAGGAAAGCAATATATTACAAATATTTGAGAATGTAGTGATTTTTTCATTCTATTATTAACATACGATATAATAGGGAATTCTTTAAAATGATAAATATATTCGCTTTTTTACGTTTTATTAGTATTTTGTGAAAATTTATTAATCTTTGTTTTATTTATATAAGTTTTTGAATATAAAAGTGGAAGAAAAAGAGGAAGAAAATTCCCCTTTATTAGAAAATTTATAACTAAAATAAATTGAATCTGAAAATATTTCATTATAAAAAAATAATAGCAATAATATGGAAAATGAAGAAAATGCTTTTTGCGAATGTTTGATTAATTCTAGCTTGAAAAATAAAACATTTAAAGGGATTTTTGAGTTTTTTTTTTTAAGGTTATAAAATGCAGTTTTTTGTTGCGTTTCGAAATTCTAGTATGAATTTGCGGGGTTAATTTAGTTTCCATTGAAAAATTTAAATGCTAAATATAGCTTAAATTTGAAAAAATAAATTATTATAAGCTAAACTAAATAGAGAGTTAAAAAAAATATGAATTATGCATCTAGTTAAAGTTAGACTTTGAGAATTAATCGAGAATTTATTATTTAGGAAAGTGTTCCGGCTGTTCTTAATCTAAAATTAGAGTCTTTGTGTTTAAATACTTTATATATTAAATGGAAAAGTAAACTAATATCATTAATATTTATTTATATTATTAAAATTTAGATGAATAAGGAGTAGATGAAGGAGGGCCAAGAAGAGAATGGTTTAGTTTAATTTTTAGTAAATTATTGAATCCGGATTTCGGTTTATTTATATAAAATAAGAAGAATTATACGTATATGCCGAATCCTTTTTCGTTTTTGATACCTAATCATTTAGTTATTTTTAAATTTTTGGGAATTTTATTAGGAAGAGCTTTTATTGAAAATCATGCGGTTTAAGCCAATTTCGCGGTTCCTTTTATAAAACTTTTTTTGAAAAAAAAATTTTTATTTCTGATTTAGAAGAAATTGACCCTGAATATTATTAAAATTTAAATTGGATGTTATAAAATTCTATTGATGATATTTTCGAGCATTCTTTTACGTATTTTTTATATATTTTACATGTTATATATATATTACTTTAGATATATTAAGTAGTTTGGAGGATAAAATATAGAAATTGAATTAGAATAGAACGGAAAAAATATAAAAATAAATGATTAGAATAAAAAAAAATATGTGAAATAAATCTGCCATTCTCAACTTATTAGAGAAATATATTATTAATCATATGCTTTAATTACAGGATTTGAAGAAATTGTTTCTTCAGATTTCATATATATTCTAGACGAATAAATGCTTTAATTTATTTTTAGTGGAAGTCCTGAAATTTCAAGTAATAAAAATTCTCAAATATATATATAAAATTAATAGACAATAAAATAAAAAAAATTATTATATTTTTATATAAATATATATATATATATATATATATATAAGTTTTTATATTTTTATATATATTAATATATTAATATTTTTAAATAGTTTAAGAATTGAAAGAAAATATAACATTAGATGGATATACAAAAAATGACAAGCAAATAATTTGGTTGTTTGAAATATTAGAAACATTTAATAATTATGAAAAATCATGTTTTGTATTTTTCATAACAGGAAGTATGAATCTGCCATATGGTGGTTTTAAACAATTTCCAATAACAATATCATTAACTTTAAGGACAGATAGATTACCTGTAGCACATACATGTGGAAATTAAATAGATTTACCAAATTATTTTTCAAAAGAAAGACTTGAGGATGCCTTAAGGAAAGCTTTATTTGAATCTTCTGGATTTGAATTAGCATGAATATAAAAATATAAATAATTTAATATAATTAATTTTTTATTTATTTCAAAAATTTATTCACAATTATGATTATTTTTCTTTTTATATTTATAACTTACTGATAATATAGCCTTTTAAAACTGCTATTTTTAATTATATTAAATTCTTATAAAATTTAATAGAATATTTTTATTTTATTTTTTCATTCTATTATTTTTTAAGTTCATTCTTTTAATTATTGGATATTGATTATTTAATTTAACTTCTTATTTATTTAATTTATATATTCTATATTTTTTATTTAAGACCTCTTTTTTTTTATAATTTTCTATTGCTTTTTCTTCCTCAATATTCCATTAATTAAATACAAAAACTACTTTTTATATTTATAATTATCACAATATGCGATTTCCTTATTTCATAAAAATTTTAATGAAAGCAATATAAATATCCGAATCTTCTTAAAAATATATACCATTTACTTTACATTATTAATTAATATACTTTTTCTATTTTTAGTATTTCCGATAATATTTAATATATTAAATCAATTTCATATTATTATTTTTAATCAAATATTTATAATCTGTATTTCTTTGATATAATTACTAATTTATTAATGTATTATCTTCTTCTTATTATTAAACTTTTTAAAATTAAAGAGAATTTTAGACTAATCCGTTAAAAATAATCAATTTAATCATTAGAAATTTACATTAATTTTATTTTATAAAAAGTCTATTTTATATTTCTAAGTAAAAAATTGTATAATTTATTATTGAAAGCTCCTATTTTTTACATTTTAAACTAAATACATATTTTTCAATTAAATGTATTTTCATTTATTGGATAAGAATTTTTTTCTATAAATTTATTAATGGGCTCTTTTTGTTATATAATTCTTTATCTTTTTTCATTATAAAATTTATGTTATTCTTTATATATATATATATATATATATATATATATATATATATATATATATATATATATATATACCATACTAATTTTATAATAATGATTTCGATATTTAACATGAAGTATTATATATATTATTAAAAATTTATAGTTCTTTTTATTAACTATTTGTAGTAATCAAACATAAATACCAATATTTTTTTTTATAATAAAAATAATTAAATTATAATGTATAAATAATAAATTTAATATATTTATATATTAAATTTACAAAAAATAAATAAAATTCAACATTAATTTAAATAAAACTATTCAATTACAGAAATCAAATTATCTCTTTAAGAAGGTTTTGTCAAAACTGCATCCATTCCAGCATTTAAACAATCTTATTTAGTTTATAGATCACAAAAAGCTGTATATCCAATTATTTTTGGTAAATATTTAATATCTCCATTAAAATACATATTTTTTATAAATTTAGTAGCCTATATACCGTCTAAAACAGGCATATTAACATCCATAATAATAATTCCGATTTTATACCCTTTTTCTTCATTTCTTTTACATTTCATACTGGCTTAATAAATAATTTATTCAATAGCTTATTTACCATTAAAAGCTTCAATTACATACTTTTCTAATCCAAGAGTTTTAAAAAGGCCTTTAAGTACAAAAACATTGAAAGGTTCATCATCAACTATTAGAATTTTTTTAACGTTTTTAATGTTCTAGAATATAGATTAACAATTTGGTTTATTAATAATATTTTTTTCTTCATCAATTTCCAAAAGAAGGTTATTTTTTATATTTTTTTAAGTTATTTCTTTCTAGGAAGCCTTAATTTCATCTAGGGTAACCCTATAATCAAATTAAAACTATTCGAAATCAAAATCAAGTTTATTTTGTAATTAAAAATTGAAATTATTTAAAGACTAAAATTTATTATTTTAATTTTTTTATTATGTTTGGGTAAATGTGTGCTTTTTTTAGTTCCGTAAAAGCCCGATTTTTTTATTTACGAAGCTTTTTAAAAAAGGAGATTATTCACTTTCAAAATCTGATTTGGAAAGCATTTTTTTCTTTTAAAATAACACAAAAGGTGATATTTTAACATCTTCGTTTGATTTCGATTTTAAAGAAAAAAGAAGCTTTCTTTAACGTTTTTATTCGTTTACTTTTTCAATATTATTCATATCTTCAATAAAAAACCAGCATTTTAAACCTTTGCCTTTTTCAGAATCGAAAAAAAGAGATTTCTTTTCATTTTCGAAAGTTAGTTTTCGGGCATAAGTGTTTGACATATATAACCCAAGGCCAAATCCAACTGAATTTTGGGATATTTTTTCCTAACTGAAGCCATTTTCCATCATTTATTCGAGTCTATTAAGTTCTTCTGGGAGCATTCCTATACCAGAGTCTTCTATGGTTATTTTAAGCTTATTTTATGTGTGTTTTTGGACAGTTATTTAAATAAAACCTTGTTCAGTAAACCTTATAGAATTTGAAATCAAATTTTTGATAATTTATTGAATTAGTTAAAAATCGGAAATAATTAAAGTTTTTATGTTTTGTTAAAATTAAATTTAAAAATTAATATTTTTAAACTTTAGTTAGACTTTAAATAACTCTGCTATTTCAAAGATAGCTTTTCGGATGTCAAAAAGCCTTTTTTTGAATAAAAATTGTGCTGAAATTATTTATTAATAAGTCTTCATATCTTCAATGAAGCCAATAAGTAATTAACAATTAGTATTTATTTATCTGAAATATTCATTTTTAAATTAAACTGGAATATTTTCATCTTCTAATGCGTTTTCAGTTAAAATATTTATTATATTTATTAAAGTCCCGAACTCATGTGAAAGACTTCTAATGGAGGTGTTTAGAGTGCTTTCACATGCTTTTTATTTTATATGGATTTCTCTTTATTTATTTTAGATAAATTGACATATTTAATAGCTCTTTTAAGAATTTTTTTATATAAAGTTTATATAAAATTTAATATATTATATAATTTCTTAAGATTTATAAGAGAATTCGTATATTTCTAGTTCAAAATTACTCTCTTCCAATAGTAAATTTTATAAATCAATTGTTAATTAATATAAAGTGATGTTTTCTTGCTTTTAACAAAGGAATTTTTAAAGTTCGGAATCAATACTAAATTTTTTTTCGTTAAATTTTTTGTTTATTTTTTAGAAAGATTCACCTGAAAATTTCCTTATTTTTATTTCAGTTAAGAACATATAGTTAATTTAATTAGTTTCAAATAATTCATTTAATTTTTAATTTTAATAAATCACTTAAGCTTAGTTATCTAAAACAAAAAATGCAAAATTATTGAAAAAAGTTTCGTTTATTGTTTAAAAGTTAATCTTTGGATGTGATGTTAATATTTATTATTTAAATTAGTTTTCTTGAAAATTTATTTTCTTATAAAGGTTTATGAATTTTTTGCTTAAACTAAAGATTGAATACCTTTTATCATGAATATTCGTCTCTATTTCATTATTATTTGTTATTTTTAAAATCGATTATAAATGTTTATCCATTTAAATTTATTAATCAGTTTACTTTTTATTATAATATATGTTTTTTTCGTTTAAATAAAATAAAAAAGCTGCTGTGTTAATACAATCAAATAACAGTTTTTCACAAAATTATTTATAAAGAAAAAAAAAATGACTATTAATTCACAAATTAAAACTATAAAAGTATTCTTATATTTTATAAATATGTTAGTATATTTACTTATGTACAATAATATAATAAATATACTTTGAGTTTAATTGTATATTATCATTTAACGGCTGTTTTAAAAACATATAAATACAAAAAGCAATAAATGCATATTTAAAAATAATAATAATATCCCTTTTTAACTATTTATTTATTAACCTTGTTGTTTTTTTTTATGAATTTCTATACAATAAAGATTAAAGTAGATACAAAGCAAATTTAATATAAGTAAAATATTAGAAATATTTGTGAAATATTCAAGATTGTTATTTAATTTTAACTTTATTTATAATGTTATTTAGTTTGTTATTAAGACTAATAATTTTAAATGTTTTAAAAAAAAAATTTTTTTCGTCTAATCAAAACATTACATATTATATTTAATTTTATAATTATTTGTATTTATTATTTGTTTTAAAAAAAAAGAAGAATTTTATTTTTAATATAAAACATAATATATTTATTTCTTTTAAATTTTTTGATTATTTTTATTTCTTATTTATGAAAATAGAATAAATTTAATTAAATTAATTAAATAATAAAAGATTTAAAATTTATAATAATTAAATTTTAATTAAAAAAAAAAAAATATTTGTAATATATAATACATAAATACATAAATAATTTAAATATATAAATATAAATATATATATATATTTATATTTTATATATAAATAATTGATAAATTTTTTATAATATTAAAAAATATATATATGTTTTTCTTTTATTTTTAATTTTAAAATTATTTAAATAAATATATATTATCCTTATAAATGATAATATTATGACATAATATTTTTAATATAATATAATATGAAATGTAATTTATATTTATTTATTAATTAATTAAAATTTAAATTTTATATTTTATATAAATTTTTTTATAAATGAATATAATTATTTTTATTTATAATATTTTGTTTTTATTTTAATACCTATTTTATTTTAGATTTTTAATTTAATTTTATTTATATAATAATCAAACTTTTTTTATTAATAAATAAATAAAATATTTACTTTAAATATAAATTAAATATTTTTTTTACTTATTGTATTTTTTTATTAATAATGCCTTAATGATTATATTTTTAGTTTTAATCTTAATAAATTAAATAAAAATATAATATTTCTAATTTTATTTATTTTAAAAAATGAAATTTTTTTATTAGATTTTTAATCATTTACATCAATTTATATTAAATACCAATATTTTTATATTTTCTAATTTATTAAGATTTCAAAAATAATATAGATTTTTAGTTAAAAACTTTTCAATTTAAAATAATTAATATTTTTTTTTTTAAATAAAAATTTTATTTGTTTAAATATATATATATAAAAAAAAAAGTCATAAATTATTAATTATTGAGAAATTTAATTTACTTCGCATTATAAAAATTAAGGAATATGCGTTTTATTTACTACTCATGTAATAATTAAAATAGACTATTTTATTAAATAAAAATTATTTATTTTTATAAATTTGCTTTATAAAATAAATAAATATAAACACGTGTTTTGGTTAATAAAAAAATAAACATATAAATTGCTTTAAAGATTCATATATATATATTTATTATATATTAATATATTTATATATAATATAAAAAAAAATATTATAAAAAAAATATAAATGAGTAAAATATTAAATATGTTATCGCCTGTAATGGCACTTATTCCTGAAGTAGAAAATCCTATAACTAAGGTAAATAATAAAAAATACTTTTTTTTAACTTAAATTTCAATAAAAATAAAAAGATTGTTCCATTTAGAAGTAGAGCCATGTGGACTATTATAGTAATATTAATATATTTGGTAGCTTGCTAAATTCCTTTATATGGAGTTGTATCTAACTCCTCATCAGATCCTTTTTACTGGTTAAGAGTAATTCTAGCTTCAAACAGAGGAACAATTATGGAATTAGGAATTTCTCCTATAGTAACTGCTGGTATGGTTATGTAATTAATTGTAGGAGCTAAAATAATAGAAATTGACTAGAATGTTAAATCTGAAAAAGCTTTATTTGAAGGAGCTTAAAAACGTAAAATTTATAAAAAAATAAAATATTAATTTATATATAATAGTTTTGGGTCTTATTATTGGATTCTGTGAAGCAGCAGCTTATGTATGGAGTGGAATGTATGGTGATATTGAAAAAGTAGGTAGTGGAAATGCTATATTGATAGTTTTATAATTAACATTCGCAGGAGTGATTGTTTTAATGTTAGATGATCTTTTATCTAAAGGACATGGATTAGGAAATTCTGCAATTTCATTATTTATAGCAATTAATATTTGTGAGACATTACTTTGGAAATCATTTTCTCCAATCACATATCCATCAGAAAGTGGAGAATAATATGAAGGAGCTATGATAAACTTATTCCATAGTCTCATTTTTATGCCAAATAAATTGCATGCTTTATAAAATGCCTTTTATAGATCAGGACTTCCTAATATAAGCAATTTATTATCCACTGCAGTTATTTTCTTGGTTGTGATTTATTTCCAAGGATTCAAGGTTGATATTTCAATTAAAAATAATAGAGTAGCTGGACAAATCTAATCTTATCCTATAAAACTATTCTACACATCTAACATGCCTATTATTTTGTAAACTGCTCTTGTATCTAATCTTTATTTCTTCTCCTAAATGCTATATAAGTAATTCTCTGGAAATTTCCTTGTTGGATTATTGGGAAGATGGTAATAAGTTGAAGCTGGTGGAAATCACTTTGTACCTTCTGGAGGTCTAGTCTATTATCTTTCTCCACCAAGAGGACTTTATGAAACTATTAGCGATCCTTTACATACTATCCTTTATGTTGCTTTTGTACTTACTTCTTGTGCTATCTTCTCTAAGACTTGGATCGAAGTTTCAGGATCTTCTGTTAGAGATGTCGCTAAATAATTAAAAGAATAAGGAATGAGTCTTATTGGTTCTAGAGAAGTAGGACTTAAAAAACACCTTGCTAGATATATTCCTATTGCTGCCACTTTTGGTGGTATGTGTGTCGGTGCACTTACCATTGTTGCTGATTTCATGGGAGTTATTGGATCAGGTATTTAATAAAAAAAAAAATTGTTTTTATTAAATTTTTATTATTTTTTAAATAGGTACTGGTATTTTGCTTGCTGTTAATATTGTTTATGGTTACTTTGAATAATTCAAAAAAGAAAAAGAATAAGGAACTTTAGAATTTTGAGTTTTTTTTTTTTAATATTATTTTTATCTTTTTTTAAAAATATGTTTTTTTAATTGTTTAATAAAAAAAAAAGTAGATTTTTTATATTTTCATTTTATAATAAGAAAAAATTATTTTTTCCTTTATTTTTTTTTATTTCTGTTTTAAATTTAAATTTTTTATATATTTTGTAAAAAAAACAAAAATATTTAAAATAGATTTAAATATTATTTGTTTGTTTAAAAAAATAATTTATAAATTTTTAATATTTTCAATAAAAACGTTAACATAAAATTATGAAATTAAAAAAAATAATTAAAAAATAATAAAAAAAATATTATAAAAATTAATAATCATATTAAAATAAAAATCTTGAATAATAAATAATATTAAATATATATATATATATATATAATCATATTATATTTATAAACTTTATATTTTTATCAAAATTTAATTATTATGTCTTTTATTTAAATTCTTATATATTTATATTTTTCTGCTAATTTTAATCACATAAACTTTAGTCTTCATATTAGTTATCAAAAGATGAAATTTTTAAATATTTCATATTGATTTTTTTACCAAATTTTTTATGCTTCTTCAAAATTTGCTTTTTTCTTTTAATCAACTTAATACCTCATTTAATCATAAGAATTAGTCTTTTGAATCTATTCCTAAATAAAATATACCTTAATATTGAAATAAGTGTGGGTTAATGCTAATTGTTTATTAAATATTTTCTATCAGGCTTTACTCCATAATTTTTTTTTTTTTTTCAATTATTTATTTATAATTAATAGATTCTAAAGTCAACTCCTATTATATTTTATAATCTTAATTATATGTATTTCCATATAACCTTAACACTAATTTTGTTTTTTTATTGTTTATAAATATTCTATTATATATAATTTAAATATATTATTATTATTTTAATTTTTTATAACAAATCTTATTTTTTATAACAAATCAAAAAAATTAAAGTCTATTTATTATTTATCGCCTTCTTTTTTATGTTAATCGGTTCTTAAAAAAAAAAAAACAATATGAAAAAAAAATATAAATATCAATTAATTTTTATATAGATATCAATTAATTTTTATTTTAATAAATTTTATGTAATATTCCTTTATTATTTATATCAAAAATAAAAATTATTTTTTGATTAATATTAATATAATAATTTAGTTTTATAAAAATTTATCAATATCCTTTTTATTTATTATTTAGTATTCTATATATTATTAAATTCATTATTAAAAAACATTACTAATATATTTAAAATAATGTAAAAATTTTAATTTGATAATCTATAATTTTATGTTATATAAAAAAGATAAAATAAAAATATTTAAAAATCAAAATTCAGAAAAAAATATAAATTCATATTAGAATTAAATATTTATATTTTTCATTTGTTCTTAACCAAAAAAAGAAAAAAGAAAAAGAAAAAAATAACACAATAAAAAACTTAATATTGAAAAAAAAATGTTAATAATAATATATAAATAAAAATAAATTATTAAAGTATATCAAAAATATTTATAAATATAAAATAATATACATGTTCCAACTATCAAATATAAGAAGATCATCTGCAATATCCGATGCCCATGAACCTCTTTTAAATTAAGACTAATTAGGAACAGATGAGCCCTTATACAAAGGTTTGGAAGAATATTAATAAAATAATGGATAAATTTCTCAAGAAGAGAGCATAATATACATAGATGGGACTGTATACCCTCCTTAAATTACCACAAATGAAATAAATAACCAAAAATATACAATAAGGAATTTTTTTCCGAAAGTATTATATAATCAATTCAAATATTTTTTTAATCTTTTTTTTTTGGTCATTTCTTTGACATAATTCATCCCAATTTTAAAAGTAGGTTTTTTGTTTTCATATATCGCCCCTCTAATTTTTGTTCTTTTACTCTCTATAATAAAGGAAGCTTATGATGATATAAAACGATATAAACGAGATAAAGAATAAAACGATAAAAAATATACTGTTCGTAGAAGAGAAGGAATTATTTAGATCGCAAGTAAGGAACTTAAGGTGGGTGATTTAATAGAAGTACATGCAAATTAAAGAGTACCTGCTGATTTAGTATTAATAAGTACTAATTAGCCTAATGAAGGAACTGTTTTTATAAGGACGGATTAATTGGATGGAGAAACAGACTGGAAATTGAGAAAGCCGATATAATATACTCATTAGTATGAATAAAACGCTAATCTTTTTACATTAAGAGGGTGTTTGAATGTCGAAATACCAAGATTAGACATTTATAAATTCAATGGAGTTTTTAAATTAGAATAAGGGGCCTAAGAGGGATACAAAGAGTCACTTTCTTTATAAAATACTATGTGGGCAAACAGCTATTTAGCAGCAGGATAAGTTGTAGGAATAATTATTAATATAGGAAAAGAAACACGAAGTAATATGAATACAAGAAAAGTAAGAAATAAAATGTGTTTAGTAGATATGGAGTTAAATAAATTATGTAAATTGTGCTTTTTTTTAATGTGTGGATTAGCTTTTTTGATTATTCTTTTTAAAGGATTTGGGCGTAATTGGCTTATTGAGTATTTTAGGTTTGTTTTATTATTTTCAAGTATTATTCCAATCTCTTTGAGAGTCAATTTGGATATTTCGAAGATAATTTATGCATATAATATTAATAATGATGGGGATATACCAGGCACTATTACTAGAAATTCACTTATTCCAGAAGAGTTAGGGAGGGTTTAGTATATTTTATGCGATAAAACAGGTACTTTGACATAAAATGAAATGGTTTTTAGGAAAATATGTCTGGAATAATGTAGTTTTACGGATGAAAATGTACATAAAATACTTTAGATTTTAAAAAAATAATGCATAAATACAGATGGGCCATTAATGGACATTGCTTAAAAGGTTTAAAGTGAAAAAAGAGGAAAATGTAAAGGAGAGAAAAGGATTTGATATTAAGAGATTTTTTTACAGCATTGGTTCTGTGCCATAATGTTACTCCTGTGATAGATAATGAGGAAAAAGTATATTAGGCTTCAAGTCCGGATGAGATAGCGTTAGTTAAACTGGGAGAAAAATTAAAAATGATACTTTTAAGTAGGGATTAGGAGAAAATTGTAATAAAAAATTCAGGGGAAAAAATTGAAAATTATAAGATATTATGTATTTTTCCATTTTCGAGTGAAAAGAAAAGAATGGGAATTATTCTATAATAAGAAAGCACATAAAGAATTATTTTTTATCTAAAAGGGGCTGATACAGTGATGAAAAATAAAGTGCCGTAAATTTAAAGGGGATTTCTATTAGATGAATACGAAAATTTAGCTAGAGAAGGACTAAGAACATTAATTTTACATAAAAATACCTTACTTAGTAAGAATTCAATGAGTGGTTTTAGAAATATAATAATGCGAATTAATTACTTAAAAATAGAGAAATGCATGAAATGAATCTAATTGAATAGTTAGAAGAAAATATGGAATTATTAGGAATAACGTAAAAATTATAATAAATATTAATATACTTTATATATTTATTATTTTTTTATTTATTAGAGGTGTAGAAGATATATTATAAGAAGATATATAATAAACATTATAATGTTTAAAAAATGGAGGAATACATATATGGATGTTAACTGGTGATAAATTAGAAACTTCTACATGTATAGCAATATCTACTGGTTTTAAAAGTCCTTAAGATCAAATATTTACTATAAAAGATATTGAAGATTAAATGCAATTAGTCCAATAATTAAATGAATTTTCTCGAACTCAATCTATTTTAGTAATTGATGGTATTTCTTTAACTACTGCACTTTAATATAAAGAAAAGTTTTTTTTCGAAATCGCTGCTAGTGCTAAAGCCGTGATATGTTGTAGATGTACACCTACATAGAAGTCTATAATTACTGAAGGGGTTAAAAGATATACGAGAAAAATTACTCTTGCAATAGGGGATGGAGGAAATGATGTTGGAATGATCTAAACAGCCCATATAGGAATAGGAATTGTTGGAAAAGAAGGAAAATAGGCTGCTTTAGCATCTGATTATTCGATTTTAAAGTTCAAGTATTTAGCAAAACTTGTACTTTTTCATGGGAGGTTGAATTATAAAAGGACAGCAGTAATGAGTTAGTTTGTATTACATAGAGGGACTATTATTTCAGTTATTTAGGCCATATTTAATTGTATTTTTTATTTTATTCCTTTGCCTATATTTAATGGGTATTTAATGCTAGGATATACTACTATTTATACTTTACTTCCGGTTCTGTGTATTGTTTTAGATTAAGATGTGAATTTAAAAGTTGCATTGGAATATCCTTAATTATATAAAACATTATAAAATGGAAGAGATTTGTCTTTAAAATCGTTTCTTTTGTGGGTTTTTAAGAGTATTTATTAAGGATCTGTTATTATTTTGTTGGCATTTTTACTTTTTAAAAACAGCTATTTTAATCTTGTAACTATTACCTATTCTTCGCTTATTGCAGCGGAAATATTAAATGTTTATTCAGAACTAAATAGACCAAATTTAAGAACTTTAGGATTTACTATTGGGACAGTTTTGATTTATTTTCTGTCTATTTACTATCTGAAAGGAAGTTTTAATATGAACGCAATTAATGGATGGTTTTTTATTAATATTTTTATTATTACAGTTGTTAGTTGGTGCCCGTTCTTTTTATTTAATTTATATAAAAAACATAAAAATCCAGACGATTATTAAACTATTATGAAACTTGTTAAATAGTAAATGGCTTTTGAATAAAATAATTAGTAGTAGGAATCTGTTAGTAATAAAGATAATAATAATCATGATTATGTTATTTAAAAAATTATTAAATGAATATATTATATATTGAAGTTTTTTGAAATTCAATTGTTTTTTTCTATTTATTTTTAAATTTATTATTTAATTATTTGTTCATTAAAATTTTATTAAATTATTTCTTAAGTCTAATCAACTTCAGTATGTATTAATATTTAGGTTATATAAATAAAAAATTTAATTCATATAATTTGTATATATAATTATGTTTATTTTAATTAATAATATTATTTAAGTTATCTTTTATATTATTTTTTTAGGTAAGAAGATAATAAGAATATACTTTATATTTATCAACTTAAAATAAAAGTCTTACCTGTTCAAAATAATAAATATTATTTTCATATATATTATAATTAATATTAATATTTTAAGTTATATAAGTAATTATTCTTATTATATATACAATAATATATATTTATATAATTTCGTATTTAATTAATTTTTTGATTTGAATTATATTCTTTTTATTTTATTAGATAAATAAGCAAACTAAAATTCTCTTTTTAATAATTGATAATAAATTATTTATTATGTTCTAAAAAACTTTGATAAATTAATTTTATATTTAATTATAAACTCTAAAACTTTATTTTTGTATTTCCTATAATTTAAAATTATCTTATTTGAAAAAATAAGATATATTATTTATATTTATTACTAAGAATTAAAATTATATGCAATAAATTATTTAATATAATATAAAATAATTTTTTTTTAGAAAATATATTATTATGTATTTTTATAATATTGTTATTTTTGTATTTAAAATTTTTATATTAATATAATTTATTAAATATTAAGAAAATTTTAAAAAAATTAATATAAGTATGTGAAAGAAAATATAAATCTTACTTTTTATATTATTAAAATTTTTTTTTTAATATTATATTCTTTTTTTAAATATATTAAGTATATTTTTTTTTATAAAAAATAATTAACATATATATTTATCATATTAAATAATTAATAAGTATATTTTTTATATTTATAAAAAATAATATAAATAATCATACTTAATATTATATTCATGATAATTTTTTTATATATTATTATAATTTATTATTATTAATATTATTATTAATATTATTAATATTATTATTATTATTATTATTATTATTATTATTATTATATTTTTTTTTATTTAATATATTATATTTATTATATTTTTGTTATATATATTATCTGTTTTTTATTTTTTATTCTTATTAATAAACTTATATTATTATATATATATATAATATTTTTTTCATTTTTTTTTTATTTTATTTATTTATTATTTAATTTTTTTTGTTCTAATTGATTTTCATTTATAATATTTCTATCTTTTTATAATTAATTATAAATTTAGATTGTTAAATTAAATATTTCTTTATTTAATTCTTTTTAAATTAAAAATATAATATTTCTTTTATAATTTTATATTATAAAAACATTTTTTTTTCTTTCTTTTTAATTTATTTTCTGTGTATTCCTTTTTTTTTACAGGCTTATTATTATAATTCTAATTATTTTTCTAATGTTTTATTCTTTTTATTCTTTATATTTTACATTTATAATTGTTTAATTATATATTATGATTTATATAATATTATTATTTAAATATTTTTTTTTATTATTTATATTTTTAATATTTCATTAGACTATATATTTAATGTATTTTAATATCCTTTTAATATATAATTTTGTTTTTTTCAAATCCCTTATCATAATTATCAATTTTATATGAATCTTAAAAAAATATTTTTAAATTGTTAAATTTATAAATATCTTTTATTATTATATAACATATTAAACAGTTTAATATTTTTAATAATATTTGTTAATTTTTAATAATTTATTTTTAATAATTATTTTGTTATATTTTTTTATTTTTAATTGTTTTTTTAATATTCATATATTCTTCTTATTTTGTTGAATTATTATCTAAATAAAATCAATCATATATATATATATTAATTATTTTTATATTTTTAAATAATTTTTTAACATATTTTTTATATAAAAAATATTATATTATTACTTTAAAATTTTAAATATATTTTATTTGTATAAAAATATATTAATTAAATGTTTATTTTATATTAATTTTTTTTATCATAAACAAAAAATTTTAAATATAAATACAAAAATTAAAATACTGAATTTTTATTAAAATTAATACCTATAAAATAAATATACATAATATAATTAATTAATAATAAGATTAAATAATTTAACTCAAACTATTTTATTAATAGAGTTTTATTTAGTTTTATTATTAATATTTTCTGAATTTCCAATTTATTCTATTTAATCAATTAAATTTCCTAAAATTTCTTCATTAATTAATTTACTTTTTATTTATCTATAATAAACAATAAGCACAATATTAATGGGAATACAAAAAACACCTATCCAAAAAGAAACTCCTAATTTTTTAATATTTAAAATAATATTTACATTAGAATCGTTAATTTAACTATAAAGCACATATACGAAATAAAGCGTAAAACCAGTCAAATAAAAAATTATTATTAAAGGATGTAAATAAAAAGCTTTTACACAAGATCTATTATTAAAGTCTTTTTTTAATCTAATAATTCTATATAAATCTAATCCTTAAAGAATAAGACCGATAATTATAAATGAAAAGCTTATATATCCTATTTTCTCAAGTTATTAAAATTTATGGTTGCATAAATTTTGGTCTATAATGTTTATATTATTGCATATATAAACGGAACTGTCTTAATAAAGAGTAAATGAATAATATTAATAATCGAAATTTCCTTTGTCATACATTACATACATTAGGTTTAACCAAATTAATTATTTTTGTTTTTATATTTGCCTTCTGAATTAAATGTAAGTATTTATAATTAATACCATTAATAAAATGAAAATGAGAATAAAAATAATATAAAGTTAGTTATATTTAGTATTAAAAGAAATGAAAAGTTATTTTATATTATCTTTTTTTAACTATTTCTTTGAAATTTTAATATTTATAAATCTTCTTTTGATTATTAAGATTATTAAGAATTATCAAGTACACTTTACATTTTTATTTTGTTTAATTATAAAATTTTTATATAATTTTATAGCTATTATTATTTTAATAATTAAAAAATAATAATCACAAACATATTTAATATTATTTATATATATTAAAAATTTCTATTTTTTTTAATTTTAATATATATAATATTATAATTAAAATATTTCTGTTTGAATTTTATATTCATATAATAAAATTTATATTAAAAAAAAGGAGTAAAATATAGAAACAAAAAAATATTTTAGAAAATATAAATATTATTCAATTTTTTATTTCTACATTTTAATATAATTAAATTTTCTAAAAAAATCTTTTTTTGTTTTTTTTATAAATTAAAAAATAAACGAAATTAACATTAAAAAAAAAAAAAAAAAAAAAAATTCAATCAATAAATAAATTAAGTGTCTAATAAAATAATAATAATATATTTATATATAAATACAATAATTATTTTTTTTTTTTTAAAAAAAAAAAATGGATTCCAGAAAATCCCGTTAGGAAGAAAAAAATAATTCAAAAAGTCGAAGTCGTTCAAAAGACGAAAAAAAAAATCAAATTATTCTTCAAAATCATCATCTTAATCATAATAGAAATAGAAAAAAACATAAAAATTTAATCACGAGATGAACAAAAAGAGACATTATAGCACAGAATATAAAAGAAATAAAACGATGCACGAGAAAAAATAAAAGAGATAAATGAAAGCGATTTAATTCCTTCTTTAAAAGAAGAAGTTGGTTTTTTAAATCAAGAATATAATAAAAGATTAAAAGAAGAAAAATAAAAAGAAATAGAAAAAGAAGAAAATCTAAAAAAAAAAAGAACTTTGGAATTATTTAATCCAACTAGTGGAAGAACAGGAGGAATTTACGTTCCTCCACATAAATTAAGATAATTATAATAATAATTATTAGAAAAAAAAGACTAACATAATGAAGATCATTAAAGATTAATGTGGGATTTATTAAGGAAATCTATAAATGGGATTGTTAATAAAGTAAGAAAATTATATAAATATATTTTAATATTATTATAGATTAATGTATCAAATATTTAAAATGTTATTATTGAACTTCTAAATGAAAATATTCTTAGAGGAAAAGGTTTATTTGCAAGAGCTGTTGTTAAAGCTTAAATGGTTTTATTTTATTATATATATATTATTTTTAATTATTTTATGAAAATTACAAAATAGTCATCTCCTAATTTTACGCATGTATATGCAGCACTAATAGCAATTATAAATACAAAATTACCTGATATAGTTAATTTAATTATAAGAAGAGTTTTATTATAATTTTAGCGTTCATTTAAAAGAAATAATAAAGTAAATATATAAATATATATATATATATATATATATATATAATATATATATATATATATATATTATTTTTATTTAATAATAAATTTATTAATATAGCTTGTTTGTTAAGCTGCCTTAAAAATGATCGCTCATTTAATTAATTAAAATATACTTACTGATTATATAGGCCTTTAACTTCTTTTATTTTTTTTGGAAAATCCTACTGAAGACACAGTCGAATTAGCTTGTGAATTTATGATAGAATGTGGTTAAGTACTCAGTGAATTAAGTCCTGTTGGTGTAAATGCTATTTTTGAACGTTTTAAGGGAATCCTCCATGAAGGTGAATGCGAAAAAAGAGTTTAGTATAATATAGAGCATTTATTTGCTGTTAGAAAGACAAAATTTAAAGTAATTAATTTTTTGATATATACATATATATTAAATAAATACATATATTAGGATCATTCAGGTATAATTCCTGAATTAGATTTAGTCGAATAAGCAGATTAGATTACACATAATTTTGATCTATTGGATTAATTTGATCCTGAAGATAATTTAAATTAATTTAAATTCGATCCTTTTTATGAAAAGACTGAGGAAGAATGGGAATAAATAAAATTAGAAATACTTGGAGAAGATAATATTTTATAATTAAAGTAAATTAAAGTCGCTACAGAAGAAAAAGAAGAATAAATAGATGAGGAAAATATTCAAATAAAAAATCTAACAGAAGAAGATAGAGCTAATTTAAGAAGAACACTCTATTTAACTATTATGTCGTCAGTAGATTTCGAAGAATGTTGTCATAAAGTCTTAAAAATGAATTTAGGAGTTGGCCATGAAAATGAAGTATGTAGTATGATCTAGGAATGCTGCTAAAACGAAAGAACTTATATGAAATTTTACGGGCTTTTGGCATAAAGGTTCTGTTAACTAAGTGAACTTTATAGAGATAACTTCATGAAGTGCTTTATTGATTTATATGCGACTATTCATAGATATGAAACTGCCAAGATTAGGAATTCGGCGAAGTACTATGCGCATCTTTTTTATACAGATAGTATTGATTGGAGAGTTTTCGCATGTATATCGCTAACTTAAGAAAGTACTACGGCTTCTTCAAGAATTTTTATTAGGAATCTAGTTTTAGAAGTAATTAAAATTACATTTATATATATATGTATTATAGTTTTATATATTTTATATATTTATATTTTTTTAATATTAGATATGTGAAAATACAGGATTAGAAAATTTATAATAAAGATTTAATAAAGAAGAACATTAGGAATTTTTTTGTGGCTTGTTTCCAAAAGACCATCCAAGAAATACAAGATTTGCAATAAATTTTTTTATTTCGATTGGCTTAGGGGCTTTAACAGAGTAATTAAGTGAATATTTAAATAATAAACATTAGAATTTTAGAAATAATAGGCTGAATCAATGGCTTAATAATAATTAGAAATTGAAGAATAATAAAAATAAAATAAGGAAAGTTCCTCTTCCTCAGTTTCTGAAAACGAAGAAGAATCTTCAAGTTCTTCTGATTCTTCAAGTTCATCAGAAGAATCTTCGAATGAAGATAGTAATAAGAGTTCAAGTATAGAGAGTAATAAAAAGAAAAAATAAAAAAAAAAATGAAAAATACATAAATATAAATTATATTTAAACTTTTTATAATTTTTATTAAAATAAGATTTTTATTTATTGTTATTAAAAATAATAATAAATTTATATATATATATATATATATATATATATATATATATATATATATATATATATATATATATATTTCATTCATTTATATTAAAAACATTTCTTTGAGATATTCGATTTTCAATATTATTTTATTTTTCTATTTTAGGTTATTAAATCTCTGAAGTTTATTTTTAAAAACTTTAAAAATTGTTCATAGAAATTTCATTTTTTTAGTCATATTAATTATTATTTTCATTTTTCAATGAATTTTCTTCTTCATCATCATTTTCATCTTCATCATCATCATTTTTTTCCAAAATAATATTTTATATATCTTTATTAATTAATTGATTTTTCAGTATTTAATTTCTAACTGTTTAGACATTATTTTCCATTCTATTTTGAATATTTTTTTAATGGATATCGTTTTATAAATCGTCCATATAGTCACTTTCATCATCAGAAAAAATAGTCACACTTTCCAAAGACCCGTCTTAATTTAAAGGTCTGTCTATATAATTTTTCCAACTTTTAAATGCCATGCCACAAAAAAGCATTAGAAGTATAGGATTAACATGATTGTTTTATTTAGTAAAAAGGAGCTGTTTTTTTTTCAATAATGTCTACCTTTTTTTCTCTTCTAGTTTTTATTTTGTTTCGAATTCTTTTTTATTTATCAGTCTTTGAATTTCTACACCGGATTCTTAAACGAGCTCTTCTCCGTAAGCTTTTTTCATACATGCAAAAAGCATTTCATTGAAAAAAACATTGCCTTCACCATCACTTTTTATTTTTTATTTTTTTTTATTATTGCTATAATTTTTGTTATTATTTACTCTGCTAATTTCATTGACATTACCGCTTTTGCGACATAATGTTTATCTAGTTTTTCGGTATCGTTGCCTTCATAAAATCCTAAAGGAGAAGGTAGTTTACATAAAAAATTTACTATGGCATGAGTGTTGATTTTCTCTCCGTTCGAAAATGCAGTAAATTCAGACCAAACAGACCTAAACTTTTCTAGGTTTTCGTTAAAAGCTTATAAAGGATTATCAGGTTTCATATTATAATCTTCAAAATATTAAATGATAATTAGAATAAATAAATTAAGCATAATATAAGAACAAATAAGAATAAAAGTAACAAAATACGGATACGCAAAAACTAAAAGAAGTTTATATTAAAAAGAAAAAAATTAAAAAAAAATTACTTGTCCCGCAAGTTTAACCTGTAATACAGCCTGAGATTTTTCCTAAATCAAACATAAATTTAAACCAATCTTCCCCTGTAGCACATCTAAAAAGTGTAATCATAGCAAATCCGAAATTCGAGAAGTTATTATATTTATCAACTACATCTCCTTCAGTAACTTCTTTAAAAATAAAAACTCCTAAAACAGAATATATAAAAAAGACCAAAAGTAATAAAGCACCCACATTTATAAGTGAAGGTAAGGAAAAAACTAAAGTTTCTATTAATTTTTGTAATCCTTGCATTGATTTGACTAATTTCAAGAGCCTAGTGACTCTCATTACTCTCATTATTCTAGCTAATTAAGGACCTACTCTTAGAAAAGAAAGACTTTAGTTTCCCATAACGAAATTAAGGATAAGATCGACTATGGAAGATAATACTATAAACATATCGAATTTATTCCAGGAGGAAATCCAATAACCTTTTATTCCGTAGGAAATTAACTTAAATATTAATTCCACAATGAAAACGGCTGTGAAGAATAAATTAATCTATTCGATGGTCTAGTCATAGCTTTTTGGAGAACCTTCATATGCGATTGCCATTGTGGAAATATTTAAAACTATACAAATCATAATGAATATATCGAAGTATTTATAGTTAACTATTTTATAAAAAAAAAGCTAGATTTTACTCTCAGGTATCTAATTTGCAGCGAATTCAGCTTTTACGCCTATAATCATCATTTAAAATTCTAACCAGCGAGATTGCTTTTCTGTTAAGAAAAGAGAAGTTTACCTATTCTCGTTTTTTTAGGCCTCGTTGAATTTTAAGAATATAACACCGACAAATAGGTTTATTAAAAAAAAGAACCAATTAATATAAATAATACAAAATAATAAGCTATTATTTAATAATTATCTTTTATGGGACCCTTTTTTATTTTATTTTTATTTTATTTTATTTTTATTTTTTTTACTATGTCTTTTGTGTTAGAATCTATACATAGCATCATTATGTTAGGCCAACCTTCTAAAGAACTCAAAATATAAATAGTAATCATAGCGGATATTATATTATCGAAATTAGTAGAATATACTTTCCACTTCAAACCTTATTTAATACACTTTGTTTTATTTATATATATATATATGTATATCAAAATATGATATGTATTATTATTAGAAAAAAATACTTAATCATAGTTAACTCTATATATTTTTTCTTTATCTTCAAAATCGCAATAACCTAATCTTTATCCAATTAAAGAAATTCCCAATATAGCAAACATAAACCTATATTTTTTTATTAATATTTAAATAAATAAATAGAAGGATTATATTTAAAAAAAAAATTAACCATATTAAAATAACCACAATTAAAACATTAAAAATAGCTCCAACAGATTCGAATAAAGCAATAACAACTACTTTCATATTTACATTATGACTAATAAATCTTAGAGGCCTTAAAGTTCTTAAAAGTCTCAAAATCTAGAAATATTTTAATATTAAAAGTAAAAAATAAAAAAATAGACTTTAATAGCTGGAATATCTACAGATTCAATAGACATATCAATCATACTGGTAAATACAATAAAAAAATCCAATTAAGACCATGTATCTGTCAAATAAGAATTATTATCAATAGCAAATCCATACGCAATAATCTTAAAACAGGCTTCTATTGAAAAAATAATATTAAAAGCAACATCCATTTATTTAGAAAAATAATCTAACATAGTTCCTTCTGGAATATATGTATCTATAATTAATTTAAAACTCGAGATAATAATAAAGAATAAAATCCAATTATCAAAATGGTGATGTTGGACTATTTTATATAAAAAAATTCTAAAGAAATTTTTTTTGCTAAAAATAAATAAAGAATCGTCACATTCAATGCCTTAAAAAAGCTTTTTTTTTTCGTTTTTGGTCTCCTCAAATAAATCGTCGTTTGACTCTAGAACTTATTCAACATTAGCATTATTTTCATCTTCATATATGTAATTTTATATTTCCCGGTTTTAACTTTTTAAAATGTTTTTGATGTATTCTTCCATATCACTTTCATTGCCTTGATTTTCCTCTTCTTGTCCTTCGTTTTCTTCACCTTCATTTTATTATAGTTATTCTTACTATTAATAATTCACGAATCCATCTAAAATTATGGCCATGAAAAGGTTCAAAAAGACAAAGTTTCCAATAAAAATCCATGAAATTAAATAAAAAGCCGTTATTGCGGGATTTATGCTACTTCTGAGGCTTAGTATTAATATTTCTTGCCAGTTTTCTAATGAAAGGATTTAAAAAACGGCAATAAAAGCCTTATTGAATGAATCAAAACTCTCTCTATATTCGTTATTAGGGAAATTGTAATTTCCTCCGTAAATTTACATTCCTAAAAGACTGTAAATGAATATAAAAAGGAACAAAAGCAAGGCTATATACATAAAAGTATCTATAGTTTAACTTATTACGAAAATAATTTTAGACATAAACTCTAAACTTCTTAATAATCTAGTTACTCTTAAAACTCTAAAAGTACGGAAAATTCGCACTGCCCTAAATGCTGATATTGCCTTGTTTCCACCGGAGAAAAATATCATTTCGAAAACCGATAAAAGGACTATTGTGCCATCAAAAATGTTCATTTTATCCCTTATATAGCCTAAAATGCCTAATGCGAGTATTTTTAAAGACATTTCAGTCATAAATATATAAGTAAAAATTTCTGATATACTATCTAATAATAGATTAGTGCTTTCATCTTGAAATGAACCATCTAATGCTAATAATACTGTGTTTAAAAAAACTGCTACTAAGGCCATGTTATTAAATATGTTTCCTTATACGAATTTTTTATGGTGTTTATGGAGAACTTTTATTACTCCTAAAAAGCCTTAAATGTATATATTTATGTCTTAATGTTTTGTGTTTAAAACTTTCAAAATTTTATTCGTTTTTGCTTTGTTTATGGAAATTTTTTTAGAAATATCAGAACCTGACCAAATATTAAATTGTTTTATACCTGTTTAATAATCATTTCTCTATTAATTTTTTTGTTAAATATATAAAAATGAATTTTTATTGTTTACTTTTATTTCTTGAAATAATTCTTTTATGCCTATTGTATCTGTTATATCTTATTTATCTATAAATACAATTTATTATTTTATTAAATGGGTTATATTTTAAAATGTGAATTTTATTTTTTCCTCATTTAATTGATTTTTGTTCTTTTTTTTAACTCTTACGAACATAGATACAAATGAAGGACTACTATTTTCTTTAAAATATAGAGATTTTTACATTTTTTTTATTTAAATTGTTTAAACTCTTTGGCTTTTTCGTATAGGAATTTTAAATTTTTTAATTTTTTTAATATCAATTTCACTGTTTTTAAAGCTTTTGTAAATTGCTTGGCTTTGAAAAGATTACTATTAGTCAAAATTATTAATTTTACGGGGCGTTTTTATACTTTAAGGTGTATTTTATCCGATACATTTGGAAAATTATTTCTACAAAGATTTATTTGTTTTTTCTTTTTTCAATTCTTTTTATTTTTTAGTCTCTTCTTTTATTTTTCTCGATCTATATTGCATTTTATATTAGGTGCTTTTAATTTTATTTTATTCTTCTTAATCTTTTTTTTACCTTTCATTTTTTAATTAATAATACATAATGTCATTAAAAGACTCACATTAATATTCAACATTTAAATTTATCATCATTTTCCAATACAATGCATTTTATGGTTATTTATTTTCATTTGACTATTTTTATCCTGTTTATAAAATTTAATTTTTACTCTATGCAAATACAGATTTTCGAGGTATTTAATTAATTGTATTTATTGAGTGTTTATTTAAATCATTATTATAGTTGTATCTCTAGAATATATAAAAATTTACATTAGTAGAAATATATATATTAATAATTATATATATATATATATATATATATATATTATTATATATATATATATATATATATATATATATATATATATTTTTTTTTTATCAATATATATATAAATATTTTTTATATTTATATATAATTTTTACTTTTTTATTTTTTATTTTTTCATCTTCACTTTCATCTTGTTCTTCTTCTGAAGATGATTATTTACGTTTTTTAAGTTTAAGTATTACTTTGTTTCCCATATTTATTTTTTTATGCTTTTTTTTTATATTAGGCATATTTTCTTATTTTTGTTATTTTTTTTATAAGTTTTATTATTGAAGAGCTTCTTTTAATATATTATAATCGAAATTTTCATCATCTGTTTCATCATTACTGCTTATATATTTAATTTGATCTTATTAATTATTTATTTCTTGACTTTCTTTTTTTAAATAACTTTCATTTACTGTTTTATTTTGATCATTTATAATTTAATTTTCTGTATTTTATATTTAATTTTTTATATTTTTAATTTAGTTTTCTTTTTTTTTATTTTTATCAAAATATATTACATCTTCAGTATTTTATTTAATTATTGAATTTTAATTATTTTAAAATTAATTTATATCTTAAATATTCTCTTGTTTATTATTTTATATTTAAGATGATTAAAGAATCTAATCTTATTAATTTTTAATTAAGTTTTTTTATTTTTTATTTTTTAAATCAAGAATATTAAGTTAATTTTCTGCTCCTTTAAGTTTTTTAATTCTTTTATAATTTTAATTTAAAAGATCTGGAAATGTCATCTATTATTAATCAACTACTTACATCTTTATTGAATCAATTTTTTGATTTTCGAATTCTTATTTATTAAGATTTTCTAATTTTTAACAAATTTATTCGAAATCTTTGTCTTCTTTAATTTCTTCTTTAACATTTTCTTATTTTAATACTTTAGAAATGCCCATAAATTTAATTTCATGTGTAATATTTTATGGTAATACTTTATTTTGACTAAAAAGGGCCGAAAGCTTTGATTTTCGATTCCTCATTTTCAAAATTTTATCATGATTTAATTTTTTTTTTCATCAAAATTTTAAACACTTTCCTTATAAATTTAATTCGATTTAAATCTGAAAATTATTTGTTAATTAAAGACTTTCATTTAAACATCCCCGCCTTCTTTAGATAATGCTCTTTTTATTTTTTATTTATATTTTTCTCGATTTTTCTCTAATTTTAGTTATTCTTTGTTAATTAAGTCAATTTGAGCCTATTTTTTATCTTATATATCCTAAATTTATTTTAATCTCATTAAGTCTTCCCAATTAAACATCAACCCTTCATTAAATTTATTCTTTTCGTCTTCAATAACCCCGAATTTATTTTAAAGCTTTTAAATTAAAAGGTGTCTTTTTAAATGATTCCTTTCCATTCTTCGGAAATTCTTTAATACCATAATATCGATTTTATCATTGTCTTCATTTACGATTTATTTCACCTTTTTATTATCTTGATTTTCACTAAACTTAGCCTTAATAACTGCTAAAGTTAAATTAAGTAAAAAAAAGAACCGAACCATACTATGCAAACAAAATAAATTACTATAAAAATTGTAAAAGAATCAAAAAGCCAATACTAAATATATATATAAATATAAATGGATATATATAAATATACATTTAAATATATATAATGATAAATTATATATATTATTTATATGCACTTTTATATTAATTATATTTATTACCATAATTTATGTCCATCCTTCTAATGTTACACATTAAAATACCATTAAAAATGCTGTTAAAATATTATCAAAATTTGTTACTCCGTGGTTTGGATTACTTAATGTTTTGCCACATATATAGCCGCTTTTGCATTATGTTTCGCCGCCACAGATAATATAGTTTCCAGTATTATCTATATAGGGTATTCCTGTGCTTTATTCGAAACATTTTTTTTTTAATAATCCCATAAAAAGTTAAAGCCCACCTATTGCGAATACTAAAAAGAAAAAAATTAATATAATTAAGGTATTTATAAGATAAGGAAGAGCACTAAAAAGAGTAATTAAAATCAGTTTCAAACTTTTGATTGAGGAAATTGTCCTTAAGGGTCTTAAAACTCTCAAACTTCTTAAAGAAGATAGATTAACGGAACTATCTCCTCCAATAAATACTGGGATTACTGAAGAGGTAACGATAGTGAAATCCAAAATATTCCAGCCGTCTCTTAAATATGATTTTTTGTTAAAAATAAAACCCATTGCAGTTATTTTTAATACACATTCTGCAAAATAGGCCCAAAGAAAAAACTCTTCTATTGTAAGCATTATAGGATCTGATGTAGGCTATGTAGGATCATCTAAACACAATGTAATAGAATTAAATATAATTATTAATAATATTAAATTATCAAATAATTTATGTTTAATTATTTTAAAACAAATATAGCTACATATTCTAATAATATAAAAAATAAATATATAAAGATATTAAAAAATATTAAAATTTATATATTTAAGAATATATATAATGAAATATATTTATATATAAAATATATAAATATATATATATATATATATATATATTTATATATATATATATATGATATACTTGCATATTAATATTATAAATTTTCTCTCTTCTAAAAAAGGATATTAATCTGTCATTATTTTGAGTATTTCAAATTCATTTTTTTTAACTGGATATATAATTTATTCTTTTTATAAATAATTTATTGTTCATATATTTTCGATAGTTCTTCATATTCATTATTAAATTCTTTATATATATCAAATATATAATTATCATTATCTTATTGTTCTTAGTTATTTTAATTTTCAGAATATATTTAATCCTAAACATTTATATTTTGGTCGTTATTTTATTAAATAAAGTTTCTATGTTTTTTTTTTTTGATTTTATTTTTTGATTTTTGCATTTCTTTTAGTTATTATAATTAATTAAGATACTATTAGTTTTTAAGTTTTTATTATTATTCATCATAAACGTCATCGAATAAAAATTAAAAAGATTACTATTTCATTAAAGCATTTAATTCAATATATGTTTTTCTTTATAAAGGATTTTCTTTGTCTTATTTTTATAAAATCGATTTATCGAAATTATTAAAAGTTATTTAATTTGTTTTCTTATTATAAGTATATTATTCATCATCTAGTTTTATTAATAAATAATATATATATATATATATATATATATATATATATATATATATAAATATATATTATTTTATATTTATACCTATATAATTAAATGTATCTATTTTTTGATTCCCTGAAACTATATTAACTACTTTTTCTATTAAAATATCTGATATTGTTTACTTTTTTTATAGAGCATTTTATAAACTTTATGGTTCTTTTATTATTTCGTTTTATTTTTAAAAATTTTATTTATTTTATTCTATTTCTTCAAGTTATTCTAATGATTTTTATTTTTATGCATTTTTATTATTATTTATACTGTAATTACATTATTCCTTTTTATTTATTATTGTAGGAATAATTTATAATTAATTGTTTTTCTTTTTATTTTCTGAAATTTATTATTTATATTTTTGATTAATTTATAAAAATAAATCAGATTAAATAAACGATTTATTTTCTTTTTATTAAACATTTATTAATTAAACATCTATATCTATATCATGTTCTAATTCTTAATCTAAAAAATTATTTATTTGTTATTTATTTTAGTTGTATTCTAAATTATTTTTTTCTAAATCAAACTCATTTGAGTTCTTTTATAGACTAATTATTTTATTGAATCCCTTAAATATTTTTTAATTGTATAATTTACTGTTTTTAGACATTTAATAATTTAATTAATCAGATTCACTTAATATTGTTCCAGAAGATATTTAATTATTAATTATTTATTAAATATTAATATGTGATTTTTTATTCTTTTAAATATATATTTTTAATTTAAATTTATTAAGTATTTACTTGATTATAATTATCAGGATTTTCCATTTTTTTATTTTTACTTATAAATACAAAAAAAAAAAAAAAAAATTAAATATATAAGTATAATAATGTAAATTAAGAAATTTTTGTTTAAAAAACATTCTAATTTTATAGTAATTAAATATATTTAAAAGAATTTTTTTTATTTAAATAATATATATATAAATGTATATTTAATATTATATATAAAAAAGTTTTTAATATATTTATTGAAATATGTTAATATTTTCTTTTTTATAATTAAAAATAAAAAAATAATTAATATTATTATTTGAATGTAATTAATTAATTTTAATAAATATATATTTGAATACATTAATAATTAAAAGTATAAAAAAACAGTAATATTTATAATATATAATAAAAATAATTATTTTATATATTTAGACAATAATGTGGCAAGATTGATCTTGAGTAGGTTATTTAAAAAAAAAATCAGAAATAATAAATAAATAAAGCCATATAGACATATTTTAAAATTATCTAGAAAAAATAGAATAAATATGATAAACATATTATATTAAGGAACAATATAATTAAAAGTTAAAAATGATAAGCATCAATAAATATATAAATAAATAAAATAATATGAAAATAATTAAAAAAAATTAAAATTAAATAAAAATATAATTACACATTTATTAATAAATTAGATATTTTAAAAAGAAAAAAGATTAATTTTATTTCTTTTATAATAATCAAAAAAATTAAAAATAAATAAAAATATATTAAAAAAATGTAAAATTATATAGCAAAAAAATATATATAAAAAATAACAAATAAAATAAATTAATTTTATAAATGTTTATAATAATAAATATTATAAAAAGTATTTATAGATATATATATAAATATATTAAAAACTATATTAATATATACACATATATATATTATTTATAATATATTTTATTTATATATATATTTATATAAATATATTTTAATAATTTATATATAAAATATATTATAACTAAATTTATATAATCATAATTATATATTTTTTTTTAAAAATAAAAATTTATTATATCATTTTCTATTAAAAATATTTTATTTTAAAATAAACAAAAACAATATTTATATATATATTATTTATTTAATAAAAGAAATTACATTAAAATAATTTTTTTTTTTAAATAAACATTATTTTATATATTATAATTTCTGATTTCAACCTTAAGGATCTTTAGCAATAAGAACAAACAGTCCCATTAGACCTAATGTGACATACTTTACCATTGGATAATCATTTAGAATAATTGTAACAATTCCTAAATACGGACAATATCCTTTAATTTTTCCCAAAATATCTTTTTTATGAAGCCATATTTTTCTATTTTAATATAATCCTCTATCATCACTTAAATTATTATCTCCTTTTGTCAATATATAGTAATCTTCTCCATCTTTTTCTTAAATTGCTATAACTCTATGCACTATAGGAATTTCTTAATCTCCGTTTTTATAAACTACAACATCTCCTGTATATATTTTTTCCTCACGATTATATAATGTTAATATATCTCCTCTGTAGTATAAAGGTTCCATACTTCCACTCAATACTACTACTATGGGAGAATCACTATATGTTATTATCATTAAAATTCTCCATATTGTTAAGGCAGAACTGACTATCATGGTTAAACTAATCATTTAGATTAAAATTTAACGAAATTTCATAGATTTTATTTAATTTATAGTATCTTATAATAATGCTAATACCATTTTTTTTGTTTTATTTTTTAAAAATGTATTATAAATATATTATATATCTTTGTATTATTTTTAAAAAAAAAAAAAATAAAAAAATACACGTATATAAATCAGTATATAAAATAATTCTTTATATATATATATATATATATATATATATATATATATATATATATTTATATACATATATACATATATTTTTTATATATAAAAAAAAAGATTTTTTTTATTTATAATAATATTTTGATTGATGTAAATAAAAAATAATGCTATTTTATATAAAATATAAGTAAAATAATATATTAATTTTTAAAAAAATGAAAAATTATTAAAAAAATTTAATAATAAACCAATATTATATAAAACATTAATAAGTAAATTAGTTTGTTTAATAGAAATATCATTAATTCCTCCTTAATTATACGCTTTTTTTATTTATTTATAGATCACTAATATCCTTTAATACATAATATAAAATGGTTTTATTTTAATTCTTTTTTTATTTTACCAAATTTCTTAATTCAATTATACTCTATATTTTATATTTAATACATCCATTATAATAATGGTAATTTAATATACTTTCTTTATAATTATTTGTTAGAGTTTTTATATAAATTTAATATAAATTCTTATTTTAAGGTGATAATATATAATATTTGATTTTTCTATATTAATATTAAGTTTTTTATAAGCTTTTATTTAGTCTTCGTATTTATTTAGAATTTTTTGGGCATTTTTCTCATCCTAAATTTTCGTTTTTGTTTTTTTTTGTTTTCGTATTTATTTGTCTTTTTTTAATGTTTATTTTATTTTCTTAGTCTTTTTTCGTAAATAAGGGGATTTTTGATTATTTAATGGAAGATCTTAGCTTTTTAAATTTATTAAAAGTGTTTGTTTTGTTTAAATTTTGAAGTGAGAGTTTATTATTATTATTTTAAACGAAAAAAATAAATAAAAAAGTCATATATATTTCATAAACTAAAGGATTTTTTACTTATTATATACTATTTTTTTATTTTTTCCGAAAAAGTTATTTTTTATAGTTTATTTTTAAGTAAAAATAGTATTACACTATATTAAGGCAATATTGAAGGATATTCTTTATTTTTTACCTTCAAAATCATTAAATTTGCTATATTTTTCATCTATAATATTCTAAATTCAATGTCCTAATCAAAAACTGGATAAATTATATGATATTTTCGACTTTAAATAATCAATTTTTAAACGATTTTAAGTCAATTTTTTAATAGATTTTAAGTCAATTATTATAAGATTTTAAGTCAATTTTTATATAAGATTTTAAGTCAATTTTTTAATAGATTTTAAGCCAATTTTTATAAGATTTTAAGTCAATTTTTACTCTTTTTTTATTCTTTTTTTATTCGTTGTGATGTCTTTGTATTTAAACACATATATATATAGTATTAGAATTTTAAAAGGACCAAAAAATTAATAAAAAAAACATTAAAAAATAAACTTATATATTTAATTAAGGGTCATAGTAATTATAAGGTTGATATTTATATATATAAGATTATTAGGGCAATCTTTTTGATAAAAAAGTCTATTTGTATATTTATATATAAAGTAATAATAAGCATAATTGAAAAGAAAGAATTAAATGAAGTTTATTTTTAATTAATTTTCAATTTGTGTTTATTTTACAGCCTATATTTAAAATGGGGATTAATTTTTTGTTCGATTGTTTTTTCTAATCTTATATATGTAGAATTTATAATAGATATTCTACTAAATCTATTAATTTTAAAAGGAGAATTTAATATATTTTTTAAGACTAACAAAAATTTTGGAACATTTTTATATATTATTAAAAATATAATGAACTTTATTTTATAAAAAAAAAAAAAAAGTATCTTTATTTGATTCATATAGTCTAAAATAAATAAACTAGCAATAACCTTATTTTTTTTAATAAAATAAGGCGAAATATCGTCCAAAAATTAGAATGTTATTTTTGTTATTTTTAATTCAATTATATTTATTCCTCATTGGAATTTTCATGTGAAATTATTGGAAAGTTTCGGGAGAAATTATTCTAATTTTTCTTATATTTCGTTCAGGTTTTGGTCTTATAAAGGTATTTCTTTTTGTCTTTATTGGAATTATATTTATTTAAAAATGAGAATTTATATAATTAAAAGATTATCAATTGTCTTATTTTTTAACATTTTTATTAGTCTAGTTTATATTCAAAAATTATATATAAAATAATTAGTTTATATGAGGAAAAAAATAAAAAATAAAGGAAGACTATAAATTATATTTTAGGTTTATGAATATTTATTTTATCATTAAAATTTTTATTATTATTAAAATTAAGATATGCAGTTTAGAGTTTAGTAAAGTTTTTTAATTATATAAATATGGGAATAATTGTAAATTTTTTTAAATATGAATAATTATATTATATTTTAATATAATTAATTTATTTTTTATGTATATTATTTAACTATTTTAATATATTAAAAAAAAATAGAATATAGTGGTATACTTATTTTTATAGATTTTATGATTCTATATATAATATCAGAGTTTTATTTATATATTATTTAATTCACAATATTTATATAAAAAATTAGTATATTGTAAATTATTATATTTAAAAAGGATTATTATAAAGCTTAGAAATAATTTAAAATGATTTAATAATTATAGCTTAGAAAAATTAAAAATCTTGTTTTTTTTAATAATTAGTTAAAAAATTTTTGTATATATAAAATATATGAATATATAAAGGTTTTATTATAATATATAATATCTATATATATATAAATATCAATATAGGAATAATATTTTATTAAAAAAAATATTAGTTTATATATTTAAAATACATAAAAAATATACAATTATTTATAAACTAATATAAAATTATATTTTTATAATTAAACTTATTATTATACATTTAATTAATTTATGATAATATATTTTTAATAAATGTTATTTTTTATAAAAAATGGCTATTTATTTTCTTCATAATCTTTTTTTTAATTTAATTTATTTATTTATTTTTTTTAAAAAAAAGAAAAAAATAATAAAATTTAATTAATTTAATTTTTTATTTTATTTATTTATAAATAAATATATAAATAACTAAAGAAAAGAAAAGAAAAAAAATATGCAAAATATTGACGAATATTTATCACTATTAAAAGAAGGAAAATGTTTAACTGAAAGAGATTTGCGTATGGTATGTGAAAAAATAAAGGAATTATTAATGGAAGAATCGAATGTATAACCAGTTAGAGCTCCTGTTACTATATGTGGTGACATTCATGGTTAATTTTACGATTTATTAGAGTTATTTAGAGTAGGTGGTCAAATTCCTGATACAAATTATATTTTTATAGGTGATTTTGTTGATAGAGGTTATAATTCAGTCGAAACATTTGAATATTTGATGTGTTTAAAAATAAAATACCCTCAAAATATAACATTATTAAGAGGTAATCATGAAACAAGATAAATAACATAAGTAAAACAAAACAAAAATTAAAAATATCTAAAAATATTCATAAAAAAGGTTTACGGATTTTTAGATGAAATAGTGCGAAAATACGGCAATTAAAATCCTTGGAAATATTGCACTGATGTATTTGATTATTTACCAATAGGAGCAATAATAGACGGTAAAGTACTATGTGTACATGGAGGATTATCTCCTGAAATAAAAACTATAGACTAAATAAGAATTATAGACAGGAAGTAGAAGTACCACATGATGGCCCATTTTGTGATTTAATGTGGAGCGATCCGGAAGATATTACTACTTGGGCCATTAATACTAGAGGTGCAGGGTGGTTGTTCGGATCATAGGTTACTAAGGAATATAATTATTTAAATGGAATAAATTTAATTGCAAGAGCGCATTAATTAGTTGACGCTGGTTATTAGTTTTGGTTTCCTGTAATATATATATATATATATTTTTTTTTTTATTTAAAAGATATATATAATTATTATTATATATATATATATATATGTATTTATATATATTAATTTTGGTTTTTTGTTTTTTTTGTTTTTTTAAAGGATAAAAATCTAGTTACCGTTTGGAGTGCACCTAATTATTGTTATAGATGTGGAAATTTAGCCGCTATTCTTAAATTAAATGAAGATTTGGAATAAAAGTTCGAAACTTTTGAAGCAGTAACAGATGCTTCGAAGCAGATTAATCCAAAAAGTTTATTACCATATTTTTTGTGATTTTTTATATTTTTATTTGTTTGTATTTTATAAAAAAAAAAAAATTATTTACAATATATATATATATATGTATATATTAGTTTTTTTTTATTATTATTTTTGTTCGATCGATAAAAAACAAAAAAAAAGGAAGAGAGAAAATATATATATATATATATTTCTAATGTTCTTTTTTTTTTAGATTTAGTTTTTATTAAAAAAAATGTTTCTGACCATACAAAAAATTAATATATATACCTTTATTTTTATTATTTTCAATTATTTAAATTTAGTTTTAATTATTCATAATTTTCATTACCATCTATTAAACTAATTATTCTTGCTTCTTTTTAAAATTATACATTTTTTTTAAATTGATAATATTTATTTTTAAATCTTTCTACCGAACCATATTTTTTTTTTAATCTTATTCTTCTATGTTTTCTTAGAGTTTTTACAATTAAATTTTTGATGTTTTCTATGGATTTTTAGATTCAATATTTTTTAAAAAAGTATCATGTGATCTTACCTTTAATATTCCTTTATTATTTATTTATTTTTGATTTTCTTTATTATATTCGTCTAAATTCTATAAGGTTTTGATAATAGTTTAATTTTAATCTTATTATTAATTTTCATTTATATTCTTTATTTATTTTTAATTTTATTCAAATTTATTATTAGATTTATCAATAATTTATTATGTTTCTTTCTTCCCTACTATATTAAAAATTGTCCAAATTTAATCTTTATATAATTTTCTTTTTTTCATTAAATTATTTTAAGAAGGATGACTTGTAATATCATTGTTTAATTCGCTATCTATAATATTTTATACTGTATTACTTTTATTAATATTTTGTTCTATTTCAGGAGCAATATTTTAAATAGTATTATTAATAATCATTTATTTATAATCAACTACCATTTTATTTTGTTAATATCCCATTTTATTTATCATTTATTGTTTGATTATTTAATCTTTATAATTAATACCTTAAGATAATTATATTATTTAATTTTTTTTTTCTTTATATGGACTTTTAAATATATCATTACTTTATTTCCTTTATAATTATATATCTTCAAGTAAATCATAGCTATTTTATTAAATTACATTAATTAATTGAGGAAATTAAACTTATAAATTTTTAGAGGGGCTTATTACATTTAATTAGCTTTATGAAGTCTAAATTTTAGGAAGAAAATCGAGAAATTAGTTAGAATTTATTTTTTTAATATTTTTATTGGATTATTTCATTTATATATATATTATTAAATATATGATAAATTGTAAAGATTATAATCTAGTCAATTTTTTTTTTTATAAAAAAAAATATATTAATCTTAATATTATTATACTTTTCTTTTTTTTATTTTATATGATATATAAATATAAAAAAAATTAATATTAGCATAAAAATAAAATTACATAGATAAAAAAAATTAAATATATCGATATATAAATATAATTATATACGAAATATATATATATAT